ATTTGCAAATATCATGGCAAATTAAGAAAGCTTCCTTAGAAAATTTTTTAAGTTTGTTAAGCATGGACTGGATACAAACACGCACACGAACCCACACAAAGAATCTTGCCCTAGGGGATAGTACTAGATTTCTCGACCTAGTCTAGCATGTTGAAGTCATATGTGTTGAGGGCTAAAATTTTATCCCATAAAACTATTCTGCTTCTGAACTTGTCATGGTATTTTTGTTTTGCTTGTTACTATCCATTGCTTGAGGACAAGCAATAGCTTAAGTTTGGGGGTGTGATAACTCTATAAAAAGGTCACATTTTGGGACCTTTTCACTTAAGTTATTGAATGTTTAAGAGCTCATTTAGGACCATGTAGATGCATTTAGAAGCATTTAGTTGCATATGGCGTAATTCAGTTTGCCGCGACATTTTATTTTTAAAGCAGTACTACCTTATGGGAAAGGTGCTTGTCTGATGATGTGCAGGAACTGAGAGCAAGAAAAAGAGGAAAGGAAATGTCGTGACATAAGAAGACTACTAAACAGAATGAAAATGCCAAGTTAGACTGGCATTTTGAGAGCAAAAAAAGTAAAAGAATATATTTTTGAGCCAACTGTCTCCCACTTTCCGAGATCTCTACCTGAGAAATCTGCCTCGAAGATCCGCCTAGAGGAATCGAAGCTACTACAGTCTGTTCTGCTGATGACGTCGTCTGCCTTGCACATCATGTCTATCCTTGGGCCTCTATATCGGGATCATGCCTGGTACTCAGCCAGCAACCCAGGCTGGATCATAGCCAGCTATGCCCGACTCCCAAGTAACTTAACTATGGTTTTGGGGTTTCCTAGGAAAGTAAACACCAAGTTCTAGGATTAATTTTCCCCTATAAATAGAGGATAAAGCCACAATATTGGAGACTTCGATTCCATATTGATTTGAGCTTAAAAGTTAGAGAGAGAATGTCTTACTTTTCTCCGTCAATCCTCCTTAACGTGGTATTTCTCCTTGACAAGCCTGACGGAGTGGTGTTCTAAGCATCCGAGAGGAGCTAGTTCGCTAGGGACAGTTCGTGGTGGTCGAGGGAAGCTCCATCAGTGCACGTCGAAGGCTTTTCCTCCTTCCCTTAGTTCTTTGCTTTCATATTTTCTTATTTGGGTTGTAAGAAATTGATGAAACTTGCTTTGTTCTTGTTTATTTCGAACCCCACCATGAACTAATCCTATTTGGTGGGAGTTCATTTTGGATGTTTAAGTTTTATTTCAATGAATGGTTAATTTTTATATACTATAATCTGTTTTGTATATGGAGTTTAAAGCCCTAAGGTTGTAGGAGCTACGAGAGTAGCCATTCCTTAGGAGATTCTTTGGGTTCGAGAGAATACCGATATAACACATTCTTAGTATTCGAGAGAAACTAGGGAGGAACCAGATAAACAAAGGGTTCTAAATAGTAACTAGGCATAATCCACCTTAGAGATAAGGCTAGGATTTTATTCGACTAAAAGGAGTTGTGCATAAATGATAGGTTAGATATTAATGATGCCGTAAAAATGTATTGCCGAGACATATCCTGTTATCTGGACCAATAGGATCACTGCAGGGGTTTACGCCAATCGGTTTTGCCAGGGCATCTTCAATCTGTCGAGTCCCTTACTAGAACTAGCATAGGGAACCTTAGTAGACTCTGGCGGCCAGACAAGGCATAGAAAGAAGACCATTCTGAGAAGTAGGCTTAGATTTTCCTTAGTGACTCCCATCACTCATTCCCACAGTAGCTTGTTGTGTGAGAAAGACAGAGTCCTATTAATCAACTTGTATATTTATATTTCATTTTGCCTTGACATCTCCATATGTTTGCACTCAACATAACTCACTTTTCCACGACATATCCATCTGCTATCACATTGCCATCATTCCATTTCCACATAAGTTATTCCATTTTGCCACAACATTATCATTTGTACATACCATCACTAACTCTACTCAGGTGACAGAGTAAAGTGCCTTGACAAACTTATTTGATTTCCCCCAATCCATGTGGAGACGATACTCACTTATCACTGTAGTACTTGTTCGATTTTGTATAAATGCACATATATCCGCACCCATTTATAGTACTCACAAATAGCGGACAGGCAGTTGTAGATGCTGGATTTGTCTAGGGCCCATATAAGCTACAACCAGAAAGAGAGGGAATGGTTTATAGAGAGAGGGCACAATCGAAGAGCAGTTTCGAAGAGGAAAAATTGGAGAGAACGAGCAAACTATTTGAAAACAAAAAAGCAGTCCATTTATTGATGAAGGAGAATAGCAAAGAAAATAGGGAGAAAGGAAAAAATACATTGTAAAAAGAGGGGTTTCCTCTGCCAAATTCGAAAGGAAATATAATGTAACAGGGGTCTTCCCCATTATTTTTCAATCAAAGCAAGACATTGACTTTTTCCCTCATCATTATTGAAAAAAACAAACACAAAGCAATAAAAAATCTTTTCCTGATTATTTTCGAAAAAGAGAGCAAATATACACCTTAAAGTTATTCACCAGAGTTGTAGAAGCTTGTCAAACCCTTTAGGAGCCCTTATTATGTTTCATCACGAATAATTGAAGAAAGAAGAGACAAAGAAAAGGAAAAAGTTTGAAAAAAATTACCTTGGGTGGAGGATATTCCCGGTTTTCCTCATCAGGAGTCAAGAATCCATCGTTTGTCGAAGGTATATCCTAAAAACCTTTCCATTTTCATGTTGAGTTTGGGATCTGTTGGGGTTTGGGTTTGTGGGTTTTTGGTTTCGAGAGTTAAAGAGTGTTGTAGGGAACGTTTACTCTTTTGCTATCACCAACTGAGGGCATTCAAAAAAGGGGTGAGATGGGTAGTCATTGATTCTTAGATTTGTTTTTTAAGATGAGGAAAAGAAAAAAGATGAGGGCATTCGAAAAAGGGGTGAGATGGGTAGTCATTGATTCTTAGATTTGTTTTTTAAGATGAGGAAAAGAAAAAAGAAGAGACATGGGAAGAAGGAAGAGAAAGCTGCGTGGGAGTAGCTGGATAAGAAATTATAAGTAGGGTTCTCATTTTAGCTTAAGTAACGCCTTAAGTAAAACATACGAAACGATGTCATTCCATCGGGGTTTAGGGTAGCCCATCTACGTGCGAGTGGGTTTATTACCTCAGGGGTCATGTCAGTTCCCACTTTAGTTCATTTTAGTCCTTAAATCCAGTTTTTCGAATTTACAATTTTATCTTCATATTTCACACACTCTCCCTTTAGTCCAGTGTTAGGATATTGCTAATTTCGTGCTGTTTTACATTTGGAATATGATTTTATCTGATTTTTATTCCAGTCCTACGCATGTTTTGGGTTTACGTTAATTCTAATGCTTGTAATTTTGTTAAATTCCATTTTACTCTTTGATATGTGATTGTTATTTTATTTTTTCTGATGCTTTCCATGTTCGATGCCTAAATTCATCAGTGTCCCTAATTTCCTCTTTTAATTAGTCATTATTATTATTTTACCTCTTTTTATTTAATTATGATGAGGCATGCTCATATGTCCCGTAAATACATGGTCATGTAATTCATGTGCATTTTTAAGTTCTTTTCTTTCCAAATTACGTGTGATGCACTGCAAGTAAATATATCTATGTATAATTACTTCATGCCAAATGTATGTGCCTTATAATGTACAAGTGTCCCTTGCCATTTATTGTCATTGTTTTCCACATGGCACAAATGTATATAGACATCGTTCCTTGTATTTGTTATGTACAAAATCCTCATGTGCATACTTCCTTCTATCACATAATTTGATTAAGGGAAATACCCTTTTAGTTTAAAATTGTTTTGAGGGGCTTGTCTTAACTTATTAGAGAGTCGCTTTTGACGATTTTAAATTGAAAGTTTATCCCAACAGTGAAACCTAACAATTTATTTCGTCGCCTTAAAATTTGGGAACAAAAGAAAAAGAAATATTCGGTTATTTAAATTTTTCGAGAAAAAATTGTTAAAACTTATCTAAGATCTGGTCTCGATATTTTTAAATGATCGAATATTCTTTATCTTTCTAAAAAGGCTTGGTAATTTTATTTTAATTTTTTTCGGTTGCATTTGAATATTATAATGGAAATTCTAATATTTCTTTATTTCGATTGGAGTAAGAATTAATTACCTCCAGTTATGAGGGATTTATTTCTTCTCCATAGGAAATAATTTAATATTATTATATTTCATTGTAAAATTCATATTTTGTTGTTTTAAGGGATCATAAGTCAAATTAAATTCTAATTTGTAAATTTCATTCCAAAGACATTAATTAATTGATTAGGTACCGATTTAGGGCGATGTGGGGGTGTTAATCATTCCCTATGCGTAACCGACTCCCGAACTCATTTTATGGTAACGCAGACCTCAGTTTGTTGTTTAAATTAAAATTAATTTTTAGTTAAAATGACAACATTTTTGGGTGTCAATCACACCTTAATCAAGGATTGGTAGTGACTCCTCGAACCGTATCTTTTTATTGTAAAGGAAATCACAAAATTTTAAAAACGAGGGGTTTTTCAAATCACACATTTTTTTAATTAAAAGGTAATAATAAAAATTGGTATGATTTTTAAAATCTCACTTTTTTGAAAAAAAACGTTTCGACAGTTAGAAGATTGAAGAGCATTCCCACACCAAGAACACACGCATTGCATCTCATCTAATGACACCACTCGAGTCCTAAGAAAAGCTTTTGTGTGTACCCTGTTTAATTTCAGCATCCAAATGAAACTTTTAACTTTCGGTGGCAAACTCTTCCCCAATTAACACGAGCTAACTTTTTCTTTTCCCCATAAATAGTTATTTTGAATTGTAAAATGATGAAAGCATTATTTGGATCAATGAAAATTAAGATAAACGATAAAAGAGTAGATTTTATTAGTCATTGAGTTTTAAGTTACACAATAAAAGTTGGGAGCTATATCCTATGATCTCCCTCACATCTTCAATATATCATATGCCTTTTTTGCCATTATTAGTATTATTGTTTGTAGTCATATATGGAATTTGGCAACCACTAGTTCTTCCTCAGAACCCTGATTCTCCTCCAACGAGACTCCATGTAATTGGAGGCACCGTCTTCTGCATAAACTCCAAATTTGAAGTAATGGTTGCTTCCTCCGGCACCGGCCCCTTCATATCTTAGAACGCCATCAATGTAAACCTTCACATTGGATGCACCCACGTCATGGATTACATTCACTTTGAACCATCTGTTGTACATGTTTGACAGCAGCACCGGAGACCTGTAAACCGTGAGCGAGCCTTGGTAGACTCGGAGCATTATGGTAGTAGCACGAAAAGAACCACCAAATACTTGCATCACCGACGTTGCAGTTGTTCCACTTGGGATATATGCCTCTCCCTCGAATTGCCAAACACCGGAGGAGTAATCATAGCCCTACGGGGAAAAAACACCACTAAGATGAAGAAACCAGACAGGAATAAACAAAATTAATAATTCTAACTTACTCTAATTCGGATTTCAGAGCGTGGTCTAGTATTGCTACTAGGGGTATGAGGCTTGTCTGTGGAATACACCCAAAATCTGTGGACGCCATTGTTGAAACTGTATCGGTCGCTTGGGGACAAATCATAAGGCTTTTGCAACTGGAAATTTGATTGAGATAGGGCAACATCGGTAAACCCACTGGTAGGCTGGGCATTGGCCTGGAAGCAAATCAACAAACTAAAACAAAGAATCGAGAGAAGTAGTGCAAAGTTAGCCATCTTATTTCTTAAAAGAGGTGGAAAGGGAGATTGAAGTATTTTTGGTTTGGAATTGGATGTGCAAATTCGTGCTATGTTCGGGGCGTATTTATAGTGGGTTGGGAATGAATTGTATTAATTGAGTTTGAACTTTGAAGAGAAGTAGCCGACGCCAGATGACAAAAATAAGTCCAAGTTGTATGAAAAGAGAAATAAATGAATGTCTGATCCATCAATTTTAATAAAAATCAGGTTTGAAGACTTGGTAATGAAGACAGGTTCATCAACGTTTGTAATAGTTCGAAGACAATAAATTAATGGTTTGCCCCAAAAACGAGGGAACTCGTGATCTTGTTTAACTTTAGTTTTAGTTATCTTGAGCCCAACAAATGAGTTCTACGGTAAAACGAAATTTTATTTTTTTTATAGAAGTTTTTGTACGTTTTCAATAAATTAAAAAGTTTAAAATATATATTATCTTATAAATCACGTTAGTTTATTTTAAAAAAATTAGCGAGTTTATTCGCAGTTAAGTTCAGTGATTAAGAAGACAATAATTTAAGAGTTGGGTATTAGAAGAGATGATGAGGAAATGTAGGTGTGAGGTGGTGATGATTGAAGAGACAAAGTTAGGATGTTGTATGTTTCATTATTAAGGTGTGGCCCTTCGATGACTTTGACTTTTTGTTTGCACGTGCGATTGGACGACTCGGAGACAATCTGTTTATCTGGATAAATTAGACTTGACAAATTTGATGTGCACCCGATTATCTGAACTGATGTATTAGATTTAAAACTCGATATAGACCTGAACATAATTACAAAAAATAGATTTAAAACCCAAAATAACTCAAATCGAATCGAAATTGACCCGAATTTTAGGTAGACCGAAAGAAATTAAACCGAAATTAACCTGAAGTGAAAGCAACCCGAATAAAAAAATGAACCCAAAGCAACCCGAATTTAGTTTATCCATATCCGATCCGAACCGAACTTCGACACGATTTTAACTCGATAATTGAGTCTAAGTGAATAAATAATTTGTTTGTTTATTTATTATTATCTATTTTTTGTATTGATAAATAGTAAAATGATGTATGTTTTATTCTCAATTTATATTATACCACTAGTTACCCATCACTTCTAGTAGCAGTTTAATGGTTCAATATAAATTTTCATTAGTTAAAAGACCATCTTTCTATCTAATCAAATAATTTCCAGCTATAAATTTGGACTGTGACAATATATATTCACATCAAATTCTTTCTTTTAAAGATTTATTAATTCGATTGATTAAAACTGCAACTTCTAGCCTGAATTTGGGATGTGACAATATATATTCACATAAAATTCTTAAATTATTAATAATAAAGAGCAGCACCGAAAGTTATGACAACAAAGAGCAACAACGGTTAACCTGAAAATCTAACGGTTGGCCTGAAAATTTAAAGGTTGACTCTCATTGAAATCGATCTGAATATAACAAAAAAACTAATGGTTGACCTGAACTGAAACCAATCAATCTGATATTAACCCGATCCAAATCCAACTAATCTAATATTAACCCGAACGAAAATCAACCGATATGATTTTGATCCGACCCGAACTAAACTCAAATTGAATCTAAACCGAAATAATCTAGACTCGAAATGATCCAACTAAAACCCGATACAAATGACCCGTTTACCTCCTCTAGCATAAATCATCATTTCAAAGGTTATATATATCGCATTCTAAAAACCGAGTTAATAGTTTTTTCTGGCTTAAATATACAAAAGGTGCTTAACGTATGCCTGTTTTTCCAGTTTAGCGCCTAACGTTTTTTTTGTTCCAGTTTGGTGCATAACGTTTCATTCCGTTACTCAAAATGGGTCACACTATGACGGACAGTTAGTTTTCTCCGTTAAATGACATGTGTCATAATATGGTAATTTTAAAAATTTTATTTAAAATTAAAAAATAAAATTATATATTTTTTAAAAAACAAAACATAAAAATTTTGAAATAACCCCAAAACTTTGAAAACCTCCATTTCAACCCATTAACCTTTAACCCCGTCACCGAACCACCCTTCTCCGACCGGTGGTGGTGTACATCGCCGCTCCCACCAAACTCAGCAACAACCGACGACCTTAACCCAGCCCTCGGATCACCCAAAATTGGTCACCATCGAGTTTAAACGCAAGGAAACCATTCGATCGCCCACCTCCAAACTCGGGCACCGCTCGTCGGGAGTCATCACTGCCTAGCCCAGTGGAAGCGTTGTCCAGGACCAATCATAGCCCAGTCATCCACTCGCCTCTAGTCGCTGTCGTTCGTGGTGGAGTGGCGTTTAAAGGTTCGACGAAAAGCCCCCATCATCGTTCGATTTTTGCGATTTTCGGCCGAAACCGCCGCCTTTCCACCTCACCGCCACCGAAGTTGAGCTTGTTGGTCCTGTTCGACCAAAACCCAACCGATTTAGTAAGCCATCATCGCCGAGTGAACGAGCTTGGAAGAGGGGTGGCCGAACGGTTTAGGGTTGAAATGAAGGTTTTCACAGTTTTGGGCTTATTTCAAAATTTTTGTGTTTTCTTTTTTAAAAATATATATAATTTTATTTTTTAATTTTAAATAATATTTTTAAAATTACCATATTGTGACATTTATCACTTAACGGAGAAAATTAACGGTCCATCACGGCGTGGCCTATTTTGAGTAACAGAATGAAACGTTAGGTGTAATACCCCCAGCCCGTACCCGACCCGGATACGAGTCTGAAGTGTCACATTGACTTTTCAAACTTTGACACTTAAAGAAAAACAAGGAAATTTTAAATTTTTCATTAAAACAAAATACATTAATTTACATAAAAGAGACCACAAAATACAAAATTGATCAGAGCATTCGTAATTAGCAACTTATTGCATGCCAACACTCTATACACAACCCAAAATACCTACTTTGTCAATTACTTCTGATATGATCTATTAGTAGTGATGTTGTCCTTGCCACTTCTATTCCTTCTCTTTTTGTTTCTTGGTACCTACGTGTAAATCACTTACACGCTAAGTCATAGACTTAGTGAGGCATAATCAAATATAGAAGAAAACTCTAACTATTTAAACATGCATGAACAGGTAATCTTGTAATGCCATACCAAACAATTATAACATTAAATATAATGTAAGGTATACATATACATATCACACATCATTTCCATCATAATTCTTACTATCATCTGTATCTTGTAATTATATCCTCTTGTACCTAACCTTTTTTATCAACATCTGATTCATTTAACCGAGCAATACATATATCATCCGATAAATCATACAATTAATATCACAAAACATATACAACATATGTTATTTATTTATTAGCCCATGTACACACGTGAGAACTGTAGATATGTGAGTCTATTGAGGTTGTGCACTATGCTGTCACCACAGCTCGTATGGGGTCCTACTAGGGGCAAATGAATTTGTCCCGAAAGACCACTATGAAATATCCCGAAGGATCACTGTATGTCCCGAAGGACCGCACCCTCGACTCTTGGCATGCCAACTATACCTCTAGCCCTCATGACATATAACATGGGCATTTTCACTTATATCATTTCACATGTACACTTTCATATCACATATCATATAAGCTCATATGATTTCATATGCATATATCACGTAACTTATAACACTTCTCTTGTGTTCATATAACATGTATACCATTGCTATTTATTGTTCACATATGTTTTCTATAAATCACATAATACTCTTATATCCTTTTTCATATCATCATGTGTTCAAATTTACTATATACATTTATCATGTATCATATAAACTTGTATTCACACATATCATTTAACATATGCAATAATCAATAACACACATGTATCTTGTCAAACATATGCTCATATTAATGAGTTCATGCATTCTACTATAGGAAATAGACTTGTCGCAAGTCTTATTTCCATTAAACATAACACACTATCTAATATGCACTCACCTTATCCTCACTGATTACTAATTATTCCTATAACTTCCTTCCTTTCGATCGAATTCTAACTCGGTGATTGTTCCAAAGCTTGCTCGATTTCGGTATCTACATAATCATACATGGATCCATATCAGTATTATAATTGATATATTCTAAACTATCACTCCTTATGCTAAAAAGAAATGTATTTTTATCCTTTAATGAAGGTATGCATCGATTCACTACACCATGTATCGATGCATCCCCTGACGGGTGCATCGATGCACTATCTATGCATCGGTACATAAATCTCATTCGATGTTTGCATTTTAAGCGGGTGCATCGATGCACTACTTGTGCATCGATACACTGATGACATTTGATGTTTTTATTTTTAAAGGAGTGCATCGATACACTTCATGTGCATCGATACATCTTGAACAATTTCTAGGATTTTACCCTTGATGCATCGGTACACATTGAATGTGCATCGATGCACATAGCCCAGAAATGTTATTTTAGCACGAAACTCTCTTTATAATCTTCTCAACACTTTATATTTCCCCTCTTTTTATATCCTTAACTCCCATACACCTATTTAAACTACTTAATACACATTCAATATCTCTTAAACTTCAAAATCCATTCCTCCACATAGAATTTAAGAATCTCACTCAAATTCCCACATGTTCTAAATCTGATCTAACCCTTCATATCCCTTAATCAAGTTGGTGACAAGTCAAATTCAACTTCCAATTCTCATTATAAACTTTATTTCGAAATTTCATTCAAGAACTTCAAATCTTTAATTCTTCCTACTCCCTTCATCTTGTTGTTTTAAAGCAAATTAAGCTTTCCTTAAGCTTAATTAGCATATAAGGAGCAAAACCAAACTTAAATCTCAACTAATAAACAACTAATAAGAATTCTTACCTTTACCTTGGTTCATACGCACAAAGAAGAAAGGAGGAGAAGAGTTGTCTGGAAGCTTGGATATTTGCTTCCTCTCATACACGTGGCCTCCATATATATCTAACCAAATTAATTATTTTCCTTGTAAATGACCATTTTGTCCTTCCATATTTCCTTCTTTAATATTTAAATCCTACACAACATTTTTCATGTGATTTCCC